TGCGATGCGCCAGCGGATCGATTTCACCACCCCCATCAGGGTCCCCCTTTTTTTTTTGGTGGACCCCGAACTTGGGCCCGCCGACTTCTCGTGTCAAGATATGGACCAAGATTGATTATGCGAGTGATTTTCGACGCCCGTAGACGCGCTAAACATGTTGTAGGAAGGAAACCAGTTATAGGAAGGCGTGGGTCGTGGCCAAACCACTTGTAAGAACGCGCGGTTCGTGTTTTCCTACAACTCGCTGTGTCGTTTTCGTTCGATACAGTGGCATTTTTCTTAAAAAAATATACGAGACGTTTTTTTTGTTCTGGATGTCCTACATTTGTGTTTTGCGTGAGCTCGGCGTCGCGCAAAACAAGATTCCCAACCGCGCCGTTAACCAAGCACGCCGTCAGCGCGGCCTTGGAACGCGGGGTGGTAGTTTCTGGGGTCAACGCAAGAATTGTCCAACATGAAAGAAGAATTGCCCCTGGGAAGTTGTACAGGTCCGGGGGGCCGCGAAGGTATGAACCTTCAAAAACAGAGAGTTCACGCAAATGACGTGTAGTTGAAATTCCAGCTCCCTCCTGCTTCTCTTCACGAGTCCGCGTCCGTTTTGGACGATATTCGGCGCAGTTCTCGAGATCGAAATTTGGGTTTGGCCCATGTGAGCTAAGGAACTGAATAGGGCGTCTCCAGCAATATGCGGTGTTCACTACATATGGAGCAACATTTGTAGTGCAAATTATAGAAAATAATACATGCGCGCGCGGCTGACGCGCGAGGGCGGCCCGCTTCAGTGTTATTCGACACGCATCGTGCCCCCCCCCCAGTACGCGCGCAAGGGCGTTCGAATGATGTCGACACGCGGCGTGCACGGCCCGTCTGGCAGAGTTTCATGAAAAACGGTGGACTGGCGAGTGGGTTGCTTTGCGAATTCGCAAGGGCGCGAGCGCAGGCTTTTGTGAACACTGATGTTGCACAACCGTGTGTTGTTACATGTTTTCGGGGCACGCGATTTTGAAATCCTTGCGTCATATGCGTTTGTTTGAAGGAGTTGGACATGCGCGCGCGGCAACGCGCGCGTGCGCACTTCGTCTCCTATATGTTGCAAGGGATTATTGCGACAACATGCGCGCAAGAACTTTCGAACGATTTCGACATGCGCACGCAAGAGGCCATTTTGGCAGCATGCTGCGAATATGTTGGGGAACTGTTGTTTTTGCTTTATTGCTTTGCAGAAGAATCTGCATGAGCGCGAGCGCAGGCTTTCTTTACCATATTTGATGCGAAGCTTTATGTTTCTGATCTCATATGTTGGAGACTTGACTCTGACGCCCCCACGAGCCCGAAGGCTTTTGTGAAGGATTTCGGCGTGCGCCTACGACGACGCGCGCGTGTGCACTTCGTCCCACCTGTTGCAAAGGATTAGTGATAAGTCGGGCGTGTCCCCTTACAGGGGGATTTTCGACGAAAAATATGAAATACTCGAAACGGACTCCAAAATGGTCCAATGCTAAAAGAATAGTCCCCGGATTATTTTTGGACTATTTTTGAATTACTCTCCTGTAGAGGGACGAGTCGGACTGAAGATTATTGGAAACACCCATGGCTTTTCCCCAATCAGCGCTTGCATTGAAGTGGTCCTGGCGGATATAGAAAGATCTGGCGAAAGCCCCCGGCCGAAAACCGGGAACCCAACACCGGGTTCCCGGTTCGCGGTTCCCGGGCTCCTCTGTGTTGGTTCTGGGCCGATTCCGGAATTCCACGGTCGAGCTCACCATGGAGCTTATGATGGATTCCGCTCTTCATCCACGCTCTTCGTCTCACTTTTCATCCACTCTCTCCGTCTCACTCTTCTCCACTCTCTTCGTCTCACATGGGCAGCACTCACTCTTCATCCATTCTCTTCGTCTCCTGCTCCTCCTCCTCCTGCTCCTCCTCCTCCTCCTCCTCCTCCTCCTCTCCCTCCTCCTCCTTCTCCTCCCCGTCCCCTCCCCCTCCCCCTTCCCCTCCCCCTCCCCTCTCCCCCTCCTTCTCCTCCTCATCCTCCTCCACCTCCTCCTCCTCCTCCTCCCTCCCCTCCTTCTCCTGCCTGCCTCCTGGACATCTGGCGTTTCGATCTGCACGATGCGTGGGCCCCTGGACCTTGCAACCCCTGCCCCAGGGCCGTTTTTTGGTGTCGTCATTCTCGTCGTCGTCGTCGTCGTCGTCGTCATTCTCGTTGTCATCATCATTCTCGTCGTCGTCGTCGTCGTCGTCATTCTCGTCCGCGGCAGGAGGCGCGGTTCGCGGAGGGCCCGGGCGCCGTGCCGAAGGCGGCGCACGCGCGTTCCCCAGCGCGCGCGCCCGCCGTCCGCGGCGGGGAGCTGCGGACTCCTCGGGGGGGGGAGGGCGAGGAGGAGGGCGAGGAGGAGGAGGAGGAGGAGGAGGAGGTGGAGGAGGGGGAGGGGGAGGGGGAGGGGGAGGGGGAGGGGCCGGAGGAGGACGAGGAGGAGGACGAGGAGGGCGAGGAAGAGGACGGGGACGACGAGGAGGTGGGAAAGAGGAGTGGACGAGGAGGAGGGGGAGGAAGAGCAATGGAAACCCAGGAGGCATCAAAGATGGTGAAAGAAACCCTCCCTCCGTGCTCCCTCTTCATAGGCCCCTGCAACGGCTCATTTCCACTGGAGGGACTGCCTCGTTGGAAGACAACCGTTTGAGGACCCTCAAGGGTGCCAAAGCATTGTTTTTGTTGATTCAAACGCCACGGGTCAACCTGAGTGTTGCGTCTTGACGATCCTGAATCGCGCAAGAATGCCACTCCTGGGACTTCACAACACAGCGAATCAACGCAACTGTTGCACCCGCATGATCTTGAATTCTTCCAAAACGCCACTTCTGGTAAGTTGATGATGGAAATCCGTGAAACCCTTTCAAAGTTTACAAGCGAATGTGCGCGGCGCTGGGGCGAGAACCACATTCTGAAAAGGAACCGCCTTGAATCCGTGAAGCGCTTGCTAAAACGAATGTGCGCGGCGCTAAGGCGAGAGCCACATTTTGAAAAACCACCCGCCCTCGATTCGTGAAGGTCCTGCAACATGTTGAAACGAATGTGCGCGGCGCTAAGACCAGAAACACATTTTGAAAACGACCAGCCTTCCATGGGTGAAGCTGTTGCCACTTTTTCAGCTTCAGAGTCACAAGTGGTCAGGAAAGATCAGGCGAAACGCCTGGCCCGCCCTGAAAACTTGCTTCGGGGTGCGACACGGAATAGTTATTGATAAGGTAAAGGAATGGATCAGGAGGGAAAAAGCACAGACACAATTCATCGTCGATTCCCATGAACATGTGCAAAAAAATGGGCAGTGGGGGGGGAAGACAAGAGCCCAGACAATAGATGTGCAACCATGGGGACTCCTGGGATCTGCGTGCACTTACTTGTGTGCCCCTGGGCTCCTCTCGTGGAGGAGGGCGAGGTGGACGCCGAGGTGATCACCAGGACCGCTGCTCGTGGTGGGGGGCTCCTCGTGTACTTACTTGTGTGCCCCTGGGCTCCTTTCCGTGGAGGAGGACGAGGTGGACGCCGAGGGGACCACCAAAAGACCGCTGCCCGTGGTGGGAGGGCTCCTTGCCGCCCCCCGAAACGGGCTCCTGCCTCCGCGAGCCCTGGGCAGGGCGCGCCTCTCTCTGTCGGCAGGTGCCCGGCGCCCCCCGCCGAGCGCCGGGGCGCGGGAGCCTCGAGACGAGGGCATGGGCACCGCGAGGTGATGGAGGCTCGGGCCGGGCGAAAGGGGGGGATTGGGAAAGGGGGGGTTACGGAAATTGCTGCATGCAGCTGGTTTCGGCCTCACCGAGGGGCCCATTCCTCGATACATGGCCGCCTCTGGCGCCGGGAGGCGCCGGGAAAATCAGCTACGTGAGCTGATTCTCACCCCCCCCCTTTGCTATCCCCCCCTTTCGCCCGACCCGAGAGGCGCCGTGCGCCTGCCCTGCTCCGGGCCGGACGCCCTTTCCACGCCTCGTGTAGGGGAGCAACAAGTGACATAGACATAGAAATTCTGAGCTCCGCGCGGGTGTCTCGGATCCGCGCTGGACCCCCCTCCCTGGCGCGCGGGGCGCGCCAGGGGCCGTGAAGATTACGATCTTTCAGGATGGGAAAGCACAGAAGATCAACGGAACGCGTTTGGCGCGAAGGAGAACTCTGAGTCAGCCTCGAAGGGAGAGCCGCACGCACTAGCGAGGGCACCTCGGAAGGCAGGCCTTCTCGCCCAGCGTTCCTTCTCTTGTCCCTTAGTCTCTCGTCCTCCTCTTCTCCGCGCGGAGGTGCCGCGCAAATCTTGCGCACGTGCCGCGTGCATCCCCTGATCTCTGATGCAATAAGTGTGACCTCGCAGAGGACGAAACGAGCAGAGGTTGTGATCTTTGAGCGCGTTTGGCGCGGGAAGCCTCTGTCTCGGCGCAGTAAGAGGTGAGCGCACTAGCGAGGGCATCTCGGAGTGCAGTTTGGCTCACAAATTAATAATGGGCTCAGGCAGCCCCCATATTCGGGACCCCGTTCGCCAGCGCGTCCCCCAAAGCGGGCACGCGAACAGGCCAGCAGCTGTTCCCCCTCGCACTGGCCCGTAGGGGCTCGTCTCAATCAGCGAGCCTCTCTGACGGGACCAGCCTTGGCGCTCGTCCCCGTCAGAGGCTGGGGTACGCCCCTTGCCCCCATGCGAAGTATGGGCGTGGGCAAAGAAGACCATCGCAGGGGATTTTTGCAAGTCGTGCCCCATGGTGTTTTCACGGGTGATTCGGCGTCGACCCCTCATGTGGATGGCTTGTCCTGTCATGTCCTCCTCTTCCTCCCTCCTCTTCTTCGTCCTCCTCCTCCTCCTCCTCCTCTTTCTCCTCCTCCGCCTCCTCCGCTCCTTGTCTCGCGCTCCGGTGGCAACGCGAGGGCCGGATCCACCCAGTCGCGCCAAGGTCTTGACCAGACGGGTCCCGTGCCCAAGCTGCCAACAAAAAACACATTTTTGTGTCTTGGCACGGCCGGCATGGTAGGCGGCACAGCTGTCCACGGGCGTCTTGAGGGCCCAGGATGAGCATGGCCAGGGCCTCGCGCGTGGATAGGCAACCTCAAGTCGGGCCTGTCACTGTACAGGAGGATTTTTCAAGTATACTCAAATAGTAGTATGCGAGCATTTTGTTTCCTTTTGATGTTTCGGGGGGGTGATTTACTGCTTCTTATGTTTCGTCCAACATCCGCCTGTCGGGGGACATGCCCTACCGAAAGCCAGCACCCCCTTTCACCTAGACATCTGGCGCCTCGAAATCAAGCCAAGTCAGCGTTCTCTTGTTCGGCGTCGTTTCGGCATTGGCGGAGGGGGAGGGGGTCTGGTCCTGGACCCCGTTTTCACGCAGCTGTTTGCAGCAGTGCATTCAGTGGGGAAATTCCACCTGCTCGAAGCAGGCGCCAGAAAGAGCCAAGATCTACTCCACGGGGACGAGGGGGGGTGCGAAGGCCCGCGCCGATCAGCACAACAATAAAACATAATGGTCCGTAAGGAACATTTTCGCCGTCCAGCCAGGCCGCTGTGCCTTCTCCGTAGCTAGCGGCGGTTCCCCAGGAGGCGCGAGCGCTGCTGAGAAGACCCGCGGCCCCCTGAGAAGGCCAGCCCCTCGACGAGTGCGGCGGCGAGGGCGGCAGCGGCGAGGAGGACAGAAGGAAGAAAGGGAGGAAGGGAAGAAGGATAACAACAGAATGATTGAACAATGATGGGGGAGGGAGGGAGGAAACGGAGGGAGGGATGAGGGAGGTACGGATGAGCTGGGGGAAAAAGGGGAGGCGGGAGGGCGGGAGGGAGTCTCTGGAGTCTCTGCCGGATCGCGTAGCGATGTGGGAGGGCGGAGGGAGGCAGGGAGGGAGGGAGGGAGGGAAGGGAGGGAGGGAGGGAAGGAGGGAGGAGGGAGGAGGGGGAGGGAGGAGGTAGGGAGGGAGGGAAGGAGGAGGGGGAGGAGGGGGGGGGGGAGGCAAGAAGGAAGAGGTGGGAGAGGTCTGCGGCGGGCCGCTCGGCGCGCAGGTCGCGCCCCGGCGGCCGCCGTCTCCGCGGCTGCAGCCGCCGCCTGCGCCGCGGGAGCACAGGCGGGGCGCCGTCCTGGGGAGCGGGCGCGCCTTGCCGAAGAATGGCCCCTCCTCCTCCTCCTCCTCCTCCTCCTCCTCCTCCTCCTCCTCCTCCTCCTCCCCTCCTCTCCCCTCCCCTCCTCCTCCTCCTCCTCCTCCTCCTCCTCCTCCTCTCCTCCTCCTCCCTCTCCTCCTCTTCCCCCTCCTCCTTCTCCTCCTCCTCCTTCTCCTCCTCCTCCTCCTCCTTTCCTCCTCCTCCTCTCTCTCCTACTGATGGTAGCGGTGGTGAAAACATTGGGCCCATCTGCCGCCACCAGGCCTTGATATGTCCGGGCGGCGCAGGAGAAAACGCACGGTGGAGACCCATACCAAGAGAAACACCTTGCTTGCCTCCAGGGTGCCCTGGGTTTGTTGGGTTTCGATGGGTTTCGATGGGTCTCTATGGAAAGCGCGACGCTTCCACAGCAAGAATCAATGGACGTCCTGTGGTCTCAGGGTTGGATTTCTTGTGGAAGGTTTCTTGTGGATTGGCCTCCGCTGTACTCGACGCGGAGATCCCCACATGTGCATCTCGCTGCCTGGCAGAATTTTCGTTGTGAGCGCGTCTGGCTGTGAGCGCATGGGTGTGAGGGTGCGCACGAGCGGGCGACGACGACGGCGGCAGCTACGACGGGGGACGACGACAACGATCGGTGGTTCAAAGATGGGGTCCTGAGGGATGGGGCCCTAAGGATAGGAGGGATCCAAGGTTGGAACTACGTTGCTTGAGGCACCTCGTCCCTAGGACCCCATCCCTCAGAACCCCATCTTTCGGAGGTGGATAGACCTCCTTCCCTGACACGTCGATGAGTGAATGGGCCGTTTTTGGTTCGCGAGAGGGCGTCGCGGCCGTTATTTTCGCGGGTCTAGGTCTGTCGGTTTCGGTCCTAGGCCGTTTTCGCTAAAGGGAGGTTTGTCCACCGCCGAATCTTCGAAACTCGGAGATGGCGACTCACGGCCAGGGCTAGCAGATCTGGGCGGCGCAGGAGCAGCACAACAAACAGAGCAACGGACGACAAGAACGTGAAGCAGACGGGGCCAGAGGTTAACGGGCCCCAATGTGTGTGTGTGTGTGTGTGCGTGTGTGTGTGTGTGTGTGTGTGTGTGTGTATGTGTGTGTGTGTTTCAGGAGGGGAAAAAAAAACAGACAATTAATCGTCGGTTCCCCAGAAAATGTTGGAAAATCTGTGAAGTGGGGTGGAAGACAAAAACCCTGAAAATATGGGAACGTATGGGGACGTATTTTTTTGTGTATTTCTTTGCGTGTCCCAGGGCCCCTTGATTTTTGTGGTTTTGAGGGGCTTCCCTCCTCCTCCTCCTCCCTCCTCCCTCCTCCTCCTCCTCACGGAGTGCGCACGCGCGAAGCCCCTCGGCTAACAAAAAAAAAAACAAAAACTCCTCCTCCTCCTCCTCCTCCTCCTTCTATTCCCCCCCTCGTGTTTGTCATTCCTTGTTGTGCCGATCGGCGCACAGGCAGTGACGCAGGCGCTCTGCCTCCGAAGGCCGCTCCCGCGCCTCGGGACCGTCAAGCAACGACTCAGGGCGGAAGGTGCATGGTTCGTTCTTGTCCTTCCTCGCTCTGCCGATCGGGCCGGGCCCTCGCACCCCCCTTGTCCCTCCCCCCCCCATGGAGTAGATCTTGGCTGTTTTTGGCCCCCTCCTGAAGCAGGCGGAGGCTCCCCCACAGGACGAGCTGCTGCAAACAGTCGCAGTAGGCAAAGGTCCGAAGCCAGACCCTCCCCCCTCCCCCTCCCCTTCCATGGCGAGACGCCGAATCGGAAGGCGCTCATAGGGCTGGCCGCGGGGAAGGGTCGAGATCCCTGGTGCCCCGCTCCACAACCATCTTGCAACGTCGGAGGAGAGGGATCGGTACGATCGAAACGGGCACAAAAGGAGTTGTGACGAAGACCGACAGCAACTCCTGTGCATTTGAGCAGGATTCGTTGTCGGTGTCGCCACGGACGTTGTCCATTTGGGGCGGACCTCGCCTCTCCGATAGCGGTCGCGGTTGGTTTGGGACATCATTTGCTGTTGGGCATCGTCCCTGCAGTCGACCAGAGGTATAAGATCAAGGTCGGTTCGGGGAGGGTGCCCTAATGTTCTTCGTGCTTGTTGGATGCTCTTGTGTATCCTGGGGGAGGGTAAGTCTCCTCGAATGCTAGGCCGTTTGGCTGGCGGAGAGTCTCTTGGTGTTGAAGAATGTTGTCTTGCCCTGTGTTCGACTGTACGATTTCCGGCCGCATCTCCAACATGCCATGCGACGGTAGGTGTTTGTCGGCGACGAGCGAGGGTGGAAGCGAGGAGGAGAAGGAATTCTCCGTAGGCTCGGAAGTCCCCCGGCCCTCCGAGAAGGTTTCTGAGCCTTCCCCGAAGACAGAAACAACTTCTCCAGAGGCGAGAGGGCTTCTGAGAGGTCCCGCCCTTAGTGGGCCCCGGAAACGGCAGGGCCGTTTTTTCACCGTTTCCGAAAAAGTGTCCCTTGAAAATGGAAACGGCAACAAAAACGGCTCCAGGACTGGAGCCGGAGCGGGAACCCGTAAAAGAACTGCGACGGAACCGGTAAAAGAACGGTGTCGGAACCGGCAAAAAAACGGCTAAACAGAACCGGTAAAAAAAACGGCCCTGTCGTTTACGGAACCGGTAAGAAAAACGGCCCTGTCGTTTCCAAGGCCCACTAAGGAGCTGCCCCCCCCCAGGGGGATCTCGACCCGGGGGGGCCAGCCTTCCATCGTCTTGAATCGATCTCCGCCGAAAGCAACCAAACTTGGCGGCGAGTGAGGGGGGGGAAATGAGAAGGAGAAGGCCTTCTCAGAAGGCGGCGGGACCTTAATGGGCCCTGGGAACGACAGGGCCGTTTTTTATTGGTTCCGTTTGCCGTTTTGTTGCCGGTTCCGGCGCCGTTTTTTTACCGGTTCCGTCGCCGTTCTTTTACGGGTTCCCGCTCTGGTTCCTTTCCTGTAGCCGTTTTTGTTGCCGTTTCGGGTCGCCGTTTTTTGCCGTTTCCAATCTCAAGGGGCATTTTTTCGGAAATGGTGAAAAAACGGCCTTGCCGTTTCCGGGGCCCGCTAAGGGAGGGACACCAGGCTTTCGACGAAGGGCCGCGGGATAGGCCACCTTTTCGAGGAAGGGCCACCGGGGACTCGTTGCGGGCATGATTTTGATGCCCATATTCACAACAGTTTGCGTTTTCCAGGAAGCGGCGCCAAAAGGCCGAGGCGCAGGCGATATGGGTAAAAGTCTAGCCTCTATAGGGGTCATAACTTTATCCATATCCATTGCGCCTCTGGTGGTCTGGGGAAGGGAACTCAAAACTCCAAGACGCAGAGGATATGGATACAAGTGCGGCCCGCACGTCGTAGGATCTGCCATGGACCCCCGAACGGTAAGAGTTGAGCTGTGCTCGTGCTCGATCATCGTCAGAACCATCACCGCGTCACTTCGATCTGGCTGAAGACCGATTCCAGCTGGCCCAATTCGATTCGTTTCCGACATGCCGCCAAGCCGCTATGGCCTGACCTTTCCATGGCGTTGCTGTGCATCTTGGCGCGGCCGAACCGATCCGATTTCAGCTCCGCCGCCGATAGCAGCCCGACTTGATGCTTGCCCCGATCCGACTCGTTCTCGCCGCGAAGCCCAGAGGATACGGCCCCTTTATTTCGGCACGGCACACCCCCTCTGCATCCCCCCCACCAGCCAGCCAGCGCGCTTCCCAGCCCCGACTCCTTTATTTCGGCGCCCCCCCCCCCGCCCCCCTTGCATCCCCCCACCCACCAGCCAGCGAAACCCTTCGCCCCGACCCTTTTATTTAGGCACGCCCCCCCCCCCGCGCGCCCCCTCGGCCCCGACCCCTTTATTTCGGAACGGCACACCCCCTCCGCATCCCCCCCACCCACCAGCCAGCACCCCCTCCGCCCCGACCCCTTTTTTCGGCACGGCACACCCCTCCGCCCCGACCCTTTTATTTCGGCACGGCACACCCCCTCCGCATCCCCGCCACCCACCAGCCAGCGTGCCCCTCCGCCCCGACCCCTTTATTTCGGCACGCCACCCCCCCCACCACCCCACATCCCACCACCCACCAGCCAGCGCGCCCCCCCGCCCCGACCCCTTTATTTCGGTACGGCCCCCACTCCCTCCCCGCGCGCCCCACGCGCCCCCTCCGCATCTCCCCCACCCACTAGCCAGCGCGCCTCTCAGCCCCGACCCCTCCATTACGCCCCCACCCACCCACCCACCCACCCACTCACAAGCCAGCGCGCCCCTCCGCCCCGACCTCTTTTTATTTCGGCACGGCACACCCCTCCGACCCGACTCCTTTATTTATGCGCGGCACCGCCCCCTCCGCTCCCTCCGCGCGCGCCCCCTCCGCAACCCCCCCACCCTTCAGCCAGCGCGCCCCCTCCGCCCCGACCCCTTTGTTTTGGCGCGGCACCGCCCCCTCCGCCCTGACCCATTCATCTCGGCACGGCACCGCCCCCCCATCCCGAGCGCTCCCTCCGCATCCCCCCATCCACCAGCCAACGCGCCCCCTCCGCCCCGGCACCCCCATCCCGAGCGCCCCCTCCATCACCACATTCGCCAGCCAGCGCGCCCCCTCCGCCTCCTCCCCCTTCCTTTCTGTGCAAGAGCCATGGCGCGCGTGCCACTTGTTAGGTTTAAGTCGGTCACGTCCCTCTACAGGAAAAATATTCAGAAATAGGAAAAATAGTCTGGGGACGAGTTTTTTATTATTTATGTTTTTTATGTATCGTAAGGGGGACTTGCCCGACCTAAGATCAGGTCGGCTGGCGGGGCCATGGTTTCCCGGGCTGGGGTGGGGACGGCTTCCCGACAAGCGGATTTTGGATTCGGCCATCAGCGCAAATGTTCCGCCTTTCGAAGAAGAAGAAACGCAATCAACAAATTGTTGGCGCTCTGCACGGATTTCTTGGATCCGCGATGGCCCCCCCCGGCGGCGCCTCCGACGCCGCCCCTGGCGCGCTCCGCGCGCCAGGGAGGGGGGTCCGGCGCGGATCCAAGAAATCCGCTCGGAGCGCCAAAAGTTTATGTTTACGGCGTTGCTTCTTCTTCTTCTAGCCTTGGCAGTTGTTTCTTTCAAGACGCTGGAGGTATGAGGGTCTTCCTCTTGGAAACCGTCCTCCATGAGGAAGATCCTGGAGGCCTCGTGCGGCGCGCTATAGTAGTACCATCTGGTTCACACGGCCGCCCAATCAGACCTGGGACGACGTTCGTGCCGCGATGCTTGGACGTAATCATATTCGACGTACATCCGTCGTGAAACCGTTGTACATCCGATGCAATCCGACGTGAGCCTGGCGTACATCCGACGTGGATCTGACGTGATTTGGGTCTCAAGTTTACGCGCGTGGCCCACATTCACTGCAATCTGAAATATTTCAACCTTGGCCGACGATATTTTTCGCAGCACCGCGCCAGAATTACTGACGCGCCTTCTCCATCAGCGAGCACGAAGAGAAGCCTTGGGGCCTGTGAGCGCTGTGCCTGCTAAGCCATCAAGGCCATGGACTGCATGCGACAGTGGGGGGCCACTCTAAGAAACACCCTGCTTGCCTCCAGGGCGCCCTGGGTTTCTTGGGTTTCGATGGTTCCCACACCAAAATCAATGGACGTCCTGGGGTCTCAGGGTTGGGCTTCTTGTGGAAGGTCTCTTGTGGCCGGGCATCCGCTGTACCGCTGGGTTTCCCATCTACCTCCCCAGATGCCAACCGTGAAAGCTCTTCGACCACGACGTTCCTCCGAACCTCCTCGACCAGGGCCCCCCCCTCCCGCAAAGGGCCGCGCCCGCGGCGCTGCCGACGCCGCCGCGGCCGCCGCCGCGGCGCGGCGAGGACGTGCGGCAGTCGCGCGCCTCGAAGCGGCCGGCGCCGCAGCCGCGGCCCCGCAGGGGCAGGGCCTGGGGTTTCGGGCGACGCCAGGCTCTCGGGGACGACGATGGGGGCGAGCAGCCCAGAGGAGAGCCATGCCTCGAAGGAGCAAAACGGCATAAACACAAGCTTTTGGCGCTCCGCGCGGATCTCTTGGATCCGCGCTGGGCCCCCCCCCCCTGGCGGCGCCTCTGGCGCCGCTCCCTGGCGCGCTGCGCGCGCCAGGGAGGGGGGCCTGGCGCAGATCCAAGAAATCCGAAAGTTTATAGCGAACGGCCCAAAGGAGACCAGCACATGTGTCCAAGGGCAACGCTTTTCCGCGCCGTCGTCGAGGCTCCCGGGCGAATGCGCGTAGTGCCCGCCCCTGGGCTATTCGCCTCTGTCGTCGCCTCTGCAGTTCAGCTGGCCACGTTCTTCGAAGAACAAACGATGCCATAATCGTAGACTTCAGTCGGGCCTGTCCCTCTACAGGACAAATGTCCAAGAATCGTCAAACATAGTCGGGGGAAGCTGTGTTGGAGTATTGTTAGCATCTTCGCATTTCTGCAAAAGTTTATGCTTCGTCCGAAATCCGCCTGTAGGGGACACGCCCGAGCTAATTATAGACTTTCGGAGCTCTGCGCGGAGTTCTGGGCTCGGCGCCTGGCCCATGCGATCCAAGAGATCCGCGCGGGCCGCCGAAAGTTTGTGCTCAGGCAGTTTTGTTGCCAGTCTGGCTACGGAGGCGGGTTCGGCGCAGCGGGGTTACCTCGACCCCGACCCGCCCAGGGATTGCACAGGGGGCTCGATACCCCGCCCCGCTCAGGAGCGCACGTTCTCGCCATCGGCCCGCCTGGAGCAGGTCCAGGCTGGAGCGAAGACGCCCCTGAACTCCAACGAATTGGTGTTCAGCGCGGCGATCATCGTATGTTCATCTCGTTTGTGGTCGGTGCCTTTCCTGTGAGCGTCTGGGTAGGAGCGAGCCGGAATGAACTAGTACGAGCGGGTCTGGATGCAAGCGAGCCTGGGTATGAGTGAACCTCCTCAGGCGCTTCCTCTCTTGGATGCCCGGGTCCCATGCCCGCTGCATCGCGGTGGCCGCGGCGCCTCCAGGTGAGACTCTTCTGCCGCGCCGAAGCAGGCGTTTCCCCAGAGAGGCCCTGGCAGTCCAGGGAGCTCCCGACACTGGGCGCGAACGGGCTCGTCTCACACCCAATGTGGCGGCTTCCCTCCAGAGCGCCAGTCTGCGCGAGGGGCCCCGGAGAGACCTGGGGGCAACGCCCCCTCCCCCACGGGGCTGCCCAAGTGTCGCCGCTTGCTTTGAGTCGGGCCTGTCCCCCTGCAGGGGGATTTTCGACGAAAAATAAAACTCCCAACATAGTCAAAAAATAGTTAAAACATAGTCTGGGGACTATGTTTTGACCATGTTTTGGCCTTTGGGGGGCATTCTTGGAGTATTGGTTTTCCGTCCTAAATCCCCTGTAGGGGGACAGGCCCGACATAACGCATGCTACGTTGCGATGATCATGGGATTCTGAGCGCAGGCGCATGCACCTCCCCACCAAGCAGTGCTTCTGGAGGCGAGGTCCCGAACAGCTGCAGCGAGCGGGCCCGCGTGGTGCCCCCCGGCGGCCCCCCCCTCGGATGTTGCCCGGGTGCCACGCCCGCTGCATCGCGACAGCGCCTGGGGACCTGAAGAGGGCCACGTCTACCCCCCCGCAAGTGCAAGTCTGCGGAAAGGTACAGGCCATCCGGGCGCGAACGGGCCCATGTCATGGCGTAACGGTGATCGGTTTTTAATGTGGGGTCTCCCCTTTGTTTTTCTCGGGGGAAGACAATCTCGAACCTCCTCCTCCCCCTCCTCCTCCTCCTCCTCCCTCCTCCTCCTCCTCCTCCTCCTCCTCCCCTCCTCCTCCTCCTCCTCCTCCTCCTCCCCCTCCTCCTCCTCCTCCTCCTCCTCCTCCTCCTCCTCCTCCTCCTCCTTCTCCTCCTCCTCCTCCTCCTCCTCCTCCTCCTCTCCTCTCCTCCTCCTCCCCCCCCCCCTCCTCCCCCTCCCCCTCCTCCTCCAACTCCCCCCCCGCCTCCTCCTGCTCCTACTGTCCTCCTCCTCCTCATCCTCCTGATTCTCCGGCTTCTCGTACTCCTACTGCTCCTATTCGTTGTCGTTATCGTAGTCGTCGTCATCGACGTCGTCGTCGTCGTCGTCGTAGTCGTCGTCGTCGTAGTCGTCGTCGTCGTCGTCGTCGTCGTCGTCGTCGTCGTCGTCCCGGCGGATGTTCATTTCCCTCGAATGGTGGGCGGGTTGGATCATGTTGCTGTTTTCCTTGGGAATAATCCATTCTGGACGACCTACACGCGAGAGGATGTGCGAGAATCTTCTCATATATATTGCAAGAGGAAGCAGTGGTTGTGGTTGTATTTGTGGTTATAGCCGTGGTTGTAATCACGATTGTGATCAAGATTGTAGTCGCGATTGTAGTCATACTCGTAATCTTGGCTGTAGTCGCAATCTTAGTCGTAATCGTAATCCTCGTCGTCGCGGCGGGGAATACGTTCCCTCTATTGTTGGGCGGGCTGGACCATGTTTGGTGCATCGTCTTCCCAGCGAAGAATCCAGTGTAGGCGACCCTGCACGCGAGAGGATTGTGAGTGTGAGCTTCTTCTCATGATGATTACAATGCGAATTAGTGGTTGTAGTTGTAGTCGTGGTGTGTAATCGCGTTTGCAATCGCGACTCGAATCGTAAGTGTAGTCGCGATTGGAATCGCAAGCGCCGTCGTCGTTGTAGTCGCAACCGTGGTCGTAACTGTAGTCGTTGTCGTCGTGGTCGTTGTTTCGCTGCGTGTGCCACGGAGAAACAAGCATGGTCCGTTATCGGTGGGGCCCCAGTCCGTCAAGCATTGTGGAGGTCTTTCTTGGCGCTGGAAGGGTACGACCCGATGACCTCGGTCACCAAGGGGCAGCCGAAGGCCTGGTTCGACCTTTGGCCCAAGCGCCCCGACCTCCGAACACAAGCACGGCGAACGTGGCCCAATGTCTATGTCAGTCTGCAGGCCATTGCAGAGCACAGGCGGTGGCAGCAGCAGCGCGGATTCATGGGCAGCCTCGTCTTGTTGAGTTGGTCGGGTTGCTGGGACTCGCGAGGGCCAGGCGCCTGGATCGACTGCAGAGGCGACGCGTGGAAGTTCTCAGGCCCACGCAGCACTCGAGGATGGTGATTCTGGCGCGCCGTTGACGATAACACCACTGCGCTCTCCCTCAGGGACTTTGCCTCCGGCTCCTGTCCAAGGCGTACCTTTTCCTGTGCAAGCTCTTCGGCACCGCCTGCACCCCGCGCCCTCCGGCCGCCTGAGGCCCCGCCCGCCCGCGCCCTGTCTCCCCAATTAGTGCTTTGCGCGGCCCGCCTACCGAAAGAGGCCCGCTCTCGACCCGCAGACCAAAAAAAAAGTGGAAGTTCTCAGAGGGCCAGGACGACGGCGACCCCTACGATATCATCGGCGCCAGGCTTGCAGACGCTGAGGCGCAGCAGCGAGAGCAGGCCGAGACGCACCACAACGGCGACGGCGCGGACGGAGGCATAGACACCACCCACACCATCGAGCACATGGACAGGCTGAGCAAGCATGCCAGTCGTCAGTAGTACAGAACGCTCTTGGCGGCATCCTGCGCGGGGGGCTTGGACCAAGGCGAGGAAACGTAAGGAGTTCGGAGGCGGAGACATGTACTGCGAGCGCGGCGCGTTCGAGAATGACTACCACCGCACCTGGGAGTCATGGGGAGCCGGGATCCACCACGATATCCTCGACAAAGGGCTTGCGAGGAGATCTGAGGACGGAACGCAGCAGCCGCGTATCTTTCGGATGAGGAAGCTGACGCTCAAGGCCTGGGAAGGGCCACCCCCGCGCGAGACACAGGCGGAGGAGGAACCGATGGGTGCAGCAAGGGCGCCAGGGAGGCCCAGAAGCAACGCAGCGGGCAGGCCTCTGGCTGCGCGTGGTGATGGCTTAGGGGGGCGAATGCAGCATCGACGAGGGGTGCCGCAGATGCGGCGGGGCAGGTGCAGCCATGGGCGCCGATGGACGCCCAGTTCCGGGCCTCGCCCGGGAGGAAGCAGAGCATCAACAGGATGGAGCTCTGGGCCCTCGCCAACTGCACCGAGTCGACCGTTGGCCCGCTCATCTTCTGGACTGACAGCGAGATCACCTTCCTCGACTGGCGCGTTCAGGGGCCAGAGCGACACCAAAACGTGGGCCAACGGCGACATCTGGCGGCGCACAAGGGCAGCCATAAACCAGCGAGGAGGAGAAGGGGGGGCCGAGAAGAGACTTCGGTGAAGCACACGAGCAGCCGACAGGGGGCGAGCGAGGCGCGGGGCAGAAGGGCAGCCCAAGAGAAGTCTGGGCAGGCAGCCGCGAGGCACACCTCCTGGCGGAGGAGGGTGCCAAGCTGCAGGCCGTCGCGCACAACGGGATGGGGCTGGTGCGAGTGGGCGAGGGCCACCGCGAGCCGGGCCAGCCAGGGCGGGGCTCGCCACGCGGCTCCGAGGACTGCAACTCTTGGAGGCCCGGCCGCGCGAGGCGAACGGGCACCAGCACGAGGAGGTCAAGGCCAGACTCGGGAGCGGAAAAGAGGGGGGTGATGACTAGGGGGGGTGGATATCATGGCGTGGGCCATGATATTTCCCCAGATTTCATGGCGCCCCTTCTTGTTCCATTACGTCCCAGGCCCCCCCGCTTGGCCGCGCACATGCCGCCGGTCATGATTTGCACCTCCCCCTCTTGGACACCCCCCTCTTGGCCGCTCCCGACAGACGGGCCCGGATCGAGCCCGCGCGCCACTACTTCAGTCGGGGGTGGACAGGCCTCCTACCCTGACGCGTCGACTGAGGAATTGGCCGTTTCCGGCTCGCGAGGGGCGTCGCGGCCGTCACTTTCGCGGGTCCAGCTCCGTCGGTTTCGGTCCCAGGCCGTTTCCATTAAGGGGAGGTTTACTAAAGAGAGGTTTGTCCACCGCCGATATTTCAGAAATAGTGCGGAGGCCAGGCCACATGTCACATGCAACGCACAGCACGCGAAATGCCAAGGAGGGGCAGAGGCTGGACGTGCGGCTGCCGAAACCAGACGGCGACGCAGGCCGCGACGGAGCTCGAAGCGAGCCAGCGCTGGTCCGAGGGGCCACGTGCAGGACCACCGCCAGAGGAGTGCAGAGGCATCGTCTACCGCAGCGCGGAGGTCCACCGCGGCCGCCCACTTCGATGGCTGCCCAGCGGTCACCAGCCTCGAACGTATCACTATCCCTAAGATTGACACGCCAAAAGGCGATTACAATCTTAGGGATTCGCCCTGAAAAACTAAGGGAATCCCTAAGATTGGCATCGTGTTGAGGCGATGCCCAGCTTAGGGATAGGGGTATATGTTCCAGGCTGGTAAAGCGGGAGGCGCTGGTTCTGCAGACAGTTCGGGGCTCGGTCCCAGAGTGCGTCTCGATGACTTGCGCAGGGCACGTCCGATACGGATCGATGCGCCACGAGCCCATGGCGCGGGAGCTCGAAGCAGAGGCCGAGAACTGGCGACGTGGAGGGCAGGGTCGCGCAGCGCCTGTCCAGCGCGAAGAGCCAGGGGCGACTGCGGGTCTCAAGCGCCGCCCGCGTTAACGCGCGGGGGCCGCGGGTAGGCGGGGGATCCTCCGCCCCGAGGGAGCGGCGCCGACAGAGTACCCATCGACGATCTTCGTATCGGCACAGGAACGGGCACGGAAAGCATGGGCACAATGCCCAACAGCTGTTCCTGTTCATTTGGAACAGGACTCGCTGACGGTGTCGCCGCGGCCTGTGTCCATTTGAGACAGAAGGCCGCCTACCCGACAGCGGCCGCCGTTGGTTTGGGACAGCATTTGTGGTTGGGCATTGTACCCATTCTTTCCGCGCCCACTTCGGGCGTCCAAATCGCAGCCGCCCCTCGAACTGGGGGCGCGCCGCCGCGACGGTAGGGGGAGGGGCTGAAGAGGCCCGAGGGCCCGACAAGCCCATGGTTTGGGCAACCGCCCAACAGCCCATAGGCTGGGCATCGGGGCGGCGCTTGTAGATGTTGGGCAGTCGAGCCAGCGCGAAGCTGAAGCGCAGGTCGCGCAGCGTGAGAGTGAACCATCCAGGTCAAGCACACTGCACGGACACCCGCAACGAGAAGAGCACAGAAGGGGGCCAGCAGGACCAGGCGCCACGCGCTGGTCGCCAGCCCGGAGAGGGCGGCCGCCAGAGGAGCGCGCCAGGCGCGGAGAGGGGCGGAGGCCCAGGCCGAGGCGCCAGCAGAGGCCACCACGGCAGCCGAGGCCAGGCCGCGTTGCAGGGGCAGGAGACAGAACGCGGGCAGAGGCGGAGGCCGGAGCCATGGCGCAGGCAGCGGCAGTGGCCAGGCCGCCGGCAGAGGCAGGGGGCACGGCGCGGGCTCAGGCGGAGGCCGAAGCCAAGGCGCCAGCAGGAGCACGCAGAGGCGAGGAGCGCGCGGAAGCCGTCGCCGCCGCCGAGCGGCGCTTGCGCGAGACCGCGCCAGCAGTTTGGGGCCTGCCACGCCCGCCGCCGATGCCCGCCCCGCCCAGCACGACACTCTGAGCTGGGGGGGGCGCGGGCGCGGGTGGCGACATCAGTCCTGGGGGGAATCTCCGTTGGGAATATCCTCTTCCTCCTCATCCCCGTCCTCCTCCACTCCTCTTCCTTATAACGATCTCTTCCCTGTCGCACCCTGAGGCAAATTTGCGGGGCGGGCTGGGCGCTTCGCCTGAGGACGTCTCACCATGTATGACCCTGGAGATTGAACATGACAGCAGTTTCACCGATGGAGGGCGGGTGGTTTTCAACATGTGGCTATCGCCTTAGCGCCGCGCACATTCGCTGTACAATGGCAAGAGCTTGACGGATTGAGGACAAATAGTTCTCAAACTGTTGTTCTCGCCTCAGCGCCGCGCGCTTTCGTTTTAAACGTTTGCAAGAGCTTCACGGATTGAGCGCGAATGGTTTTCGAAATGTGGCTCTCGCTTTAACCCCGCGCACATTCATTTTAAACGCTTGCGAGAACTTCGCGGGTTGAGGGCGACAGGTTTTCAACATGTGGTTTTCTTTTGTGCGCCGCGCACATTTGTTTGAACCTTTGCAAGGGCTCGCGGGTTCCCAGGGTCAGCGTCCCCAAAAACAGTGTTTTCGAATGGCCCAGGATTTCGAGGGTGCAACAGTTCCGTTGATTCCCGGTGTTGGATCCCCCGGAACCGCGTTCTGGCACGATTCAGCATCGTCATTCACCACCCACCAAACCACCCCAACCCAACCCGAAGGCTCTGATCTACGCTCAATTTCCAGCGGGAGGGGGGTCGGGAAACATCGAAAAAACACATGTAGAACCCTTACCCCCCCAACCCGAAATTCGGGTCTTCGGGTTGGGTTGGGGTGGTCTGGTAGGTAGCCAGTCATAACGCAACAGTCAAGTTTACCCGTAGCGTTGGACTCCCGGGAACAATGGTTTAGAATGTCTCAGGGTTTTTTAACGATTGTCTTCCAACGAGGCACTTCCCTCAGTGGAAATGAACCCTTCTCTGTAGGAGCCTATGAAGAGGGTCTGAAGAGGGAGCTTACAGGGAACGTTTATTCCAACATCGTTGATGATTCTTGGGCTTACACTGGGCCTCCTTCTCCTTCTCCTCTTCCCCCTCCTTCTCCTCCTCCTCATGCTCCTCCTCCTCTTCCTCCTCCTGTTCCTCCCCTTCCCGCTCCCTCTCCTCCTTCTCCTGCTGTTCCTCCTCCTCCTCCCCCTCCCCTTCCTCCTCCTCCCCCTCCCCGTCCTCCCCCTCCCCCTCCTCTCTTTATCCTCCTCCTGTTCCTCCTGCTCCTGATTCTTCTCCTCCTCATCATCATCTTTCTCCTTCTCCTCCTCTTCATCCTCTTCCTCCGTCAAACATCTTTCCCTGGACCCGTCAGGGGGTCCATCCCGATTTGTTTTTGCCAGACGGGTCAAGCCGCGGCGCCGAGGAGCCCAAATTATCGAGAACAAGAAACCCAAGCCCGAATATCACAATGCAGACGTGGCCTCACCGATGCCCCCGCGCTTGCAAAAAAACAGAAGGGATTGTGTTTCTGAGCGGCTTGCTCTGAGACATCTGCACAACAAGACCCCCTAATCAAGGGCGCCCTCGAGGGCGCGAAGTTATTCGCGCTTCGCGCTTCGCGGTCCTCGTTCCTTCTCCCCCTTCTCCTCGTCCTCCTATTCTCCCTTTGGGAGAGCGGCGCGAGAGCGCGAAGTTATTCGCGCTTCGCGCTTCGCGCAGCGCGAAGCGCGAAGTTGGGAGCCCTAGCTAATCTCTTATGTGTTCAGGCCTCCTAACTTTGGTTTGATACTCTTGACTCATGTGCGGTCCTCCTGCTGCAGGTCCGCTCCCACAGCGTCCAGGGTACCTGTATTGCTTACCTCCCTGCAGTGCCGTTTTTTTTATATATGCTCCGCGTGCGGATCATGTATTAAACATGCAGGGATTCAGTATTAAAGCAACGATGAGTTTATGCATGAAGTTATTCATGAATTAGTCACGTATTAAAAAAAAAAAAAAAAAACAATGCATTAAACCATCCGATGTGTTAAACACTGCCCTGTAGGCCAGCGACCGAACTTGTACGTGTCCACGGCCCCCTGCCCGGGCTCTTCCTGGGCCCAGGAGTCGTGTATGGCGTGGCATGTGCAGTGGCGTCCCATGCCAAGAAACACCCTGCTTGCCTCCATCAAGCAGTGGCGAAGCGTCCTGGCTCGCCTATAGCCCTACCAAACAATGTTCTAAGAACCTTTTGACGTTCCCACGACATGTTCCTAGAACATTTCTGGCTGGGACTGCCTTGTATCTCATCGGGCTTATGTTCTAAGAACATTGTCTTTGTTATGGGATTATTTGTAGGTTCTAAGAACATGTCGTGGTAACCCTTTAGGAATGCCGGGACGGTCGGTCCCTGCTCAACTCCAGGGTGCCCTGGGTGCCCTGGGTTTCGATGGTTCTGCGACGGACAGCGTGGCGTTCCCACACCAAACATCCAGGGACGTCCTGGGGTCTCAGAGTTGGGTGTTTAGTGGAAGGTTTCTTGTGGTCGAGCCCCCGCTGTACACCGCTGCTGTGTCCAGGATGGGCCGGGCCAGGAAAGGGTGGATATGTATAGATTTCTTCGTAGGCCTGCTGCTCAGGAGGGCCAGAAGGCATCGACAACCGCCAGGGAGAGCGCCGGCCCACGGGCAGTGGACGTGGTTCCCCGACGTCGCGGTGTCGCGGTTCGCGTGGGTGCAGCGGGCGCCAGTTTTTGCGCGAAGGGGAGCCTGTCGCCACGATGACCCCTCGCGTGCCACCCCCCACGGAGCTCGAGCGGCGTCGCGCCATGAGGTTGCACGCTCCGCCGGGCTCCCGCCCCACCCGCGGTGACGGGGGGGCGGGCGCTTCGAGCGCACCACCCCTGCCGAGCATGGGTCCGCCCCCCCTCGTACCTCACCGAGCTTGGCCCCCGACGCGGGCGTTCAAGGTAGATAGCCCAGAGTCGGGCCAATCTGGAACGATCTGGCGATCGAATGTCTCCGAGTGCTCAAGAGCGAGAAACCCTCCGCGGTGTCAGGGGCCAGCGCCGAGGTCGCCACGACGCGGGCCTGCCGTACCTCTGGTGCCTCGAGTTGTACTTTTTCGCTCCATCTCGGGATCCCTGGGCCGGGCGGGGCTAGGACGAGGACAAGTAGCGTCCCAGAGCGCTCTGAGAAGGCCGTGGCGCCCGAGACATCCGCCAGAGCCGCCAGATCTCAGAGATTCTCGATTTATCCTCACCCGATTTGATCCTCGTCCTGGGTTCGTCTCACAGTCAACCCGTATAACAGGATTGGCAACATTCCCGAGGGTACCCATGAATCCTTGCCTCCTCGGTCCATCCTTGGCCACTTTCGTCGGCCGCGCCCCGCTCGCAGAGTGTCGGCACGGCCTTCCAAGGCCAGTGCTTCCTCATCGAGCGTCCCTGTGATACGGGTCGAGTGTAGTGCTCTGGAGTCCGCGGGCGCCACCAAGGGGGAGGAGGAGGAGGAGGAGGAGGAGGAGGAGGAGGAGGAGGAGGAGGAGGAAGAGGAGGAGGAGGAGGACGAGGAGGAGCAGGACGAGGAGGAGGGAGGAGGAGGAGGAGGAGGAGGAGGAGGAGGAGGAGGAGGAGGAGGAGGAGGAGGAGGAGGAGGAGGAGGAGGAGGAGGAGGAGGAGGAGGAGGAGGAGGAGGAGAAGGGAGGAGGAGGAGGAGGGAGAGGAGGAGGAGGAAGAGGAGGAGGAGGAGGAGGAGGACGAGGAGGAGGAGGAGGGAGGAGGAGGGAGGAGGAGGAGGAGAAGGAGGAGAAGGAGGAGAAAGAGGCCTCTCGGTGCCGCTGCTGTTCGCCTCGTCGGGAGATTCCCCCCCGCCCCGCGGGTGCGGACAGGGGAAGCGCCGGCGCCGCGGGCGGCGGGCACACGGCCGGCGCCAAGAGGGCGCGCGCGCGGGGGGGGAGGAGGAGGAGGAGGAGGAGGAGGAGGAGGAGGAGGAGGAGGAGGAGGAGGAGGAGGAGGAGGAGGAGGAGGAGGAGGGGGCCCGTAGCCATTTTGGCTCAAGTCCGTAGCGGTTGCTCGAGGGCTTGACATTTGGCGTGGGGAGTCGCGGCCCCGACCACTTTCCCTGGCAGCAGCCAGGCACATCAGTTCGGTAAAGTACCTTTTGTTCTCCTTGTTGCGTTCCCTTTACACGACATGGATGGCAAAGGTGCTCTCAATTGAACGTGCACCAACAAGCGGTGCGGGTACAAAGCTAATTTCCATTGGCGTACCAGCTGTCGCATCTGTGGCACCGAGCCCAACAAGCCGAAAGATGCGGCACAGCGAGCGCCTGCAGGCAAGTGGAAGGATGGGCCTCCTCGTCCTGCTCCTCCTGCTGTCGTCCTGTCTGAGGAGCTCGTTGCAGTGTATGCTAAGATGGATCCCGCAGATAATGCAGTCGTCTCTCAGGGGTGGTCTGCAAAGCAATTGGCTCGAGTTGCCGTGGCTCGCAGTCTTTCAAATGGTGCTGTGCTTCCTACTGCTCGCGCTGCTCGCCAGGCGTCTGACGCCGCTCAGCAGAAGCTCGAGCAGGCCCAGAGTAAGTACGACAAGGCGGCGGCTGCGGCGGCCAAAGCCATGCAGTAGATGCAGCAGTGTGCCACCGGCTTGGCTGAGTGCAAGGCCAAGGCGGACGAGGCCGCCAGCAAGGCTGCTGCTGCCTACGCCGCCGTCGGCGGCCACGCGGCTGCTGCTGCCGACCCGCTCGCGCAGCTGCAGTCCCTCGCCGCCTCCCTCGCAGGCATGCTGCCCGACGCAGCCGCCGCGCTCAAGCCCATCGCTGATCAGGTCAAGCAGCAGATGGACAAGCAGCGCGCCGATGCGGAGGCCGAGGCCGCGCGGCAGCAGCAGCAGCAACAGCAGCAGCAACAGGAGCAGCCGCCTCCTGCTGGTGCTGGCGTGCCTGGCGTGCCTGATGCAGCTTTCTGGGAGCACTTCGGCAAGGCCGAGTTCTTCGATGGCTTCCTCAAGGCCCAGGGCATCCCCGTCAGCGGTGACGACGACGCCATGGAGGCTGAGGAAGCCGATAATGCTGATGGAGATGAATCTAAGTCCAAGAAGGTCAAGGTCGGTCGCGCTCTCTAAGCCAATCCCTTGCAGGCCATGCAGGAGCACGCTGCTAAGAGGGCAAAGACATCGGCCGCAGACTCGTCTTCCTAACACTTGGACCTTCGTTACCACCAACGTCTCTGGCCGCTCTGGGTTAGAGGCCATTCTCAATTCACAGTCAGTCATCGAGGCCGACGCCGTCGGCGTTCAGGAGCACCACTTCATGGAGTGCGCAGGCTGGGAGCAGCGGCTCCGACACATGGGCTGGAGGGCTTCGGCTACGGTAGCCAGAACCACGGGGCAGGGAGGCACTACAGGAGGCCTCTTTCAGATGGTGCAGCAGCGGCATGGGCTTTCGCTGCTGGTCGGTCAAGGTCCAGTCCTCGAGCCTGCTCGCATTGCGATCAGGCGCATGTCGGGAGTCGCTCCTGGAGGCATTCTATGGGCAGTAGTGTACATGCATGACTCGCAGGGCTTGTCAGTGCTCAATTGGGATTTGCTGTGCAGGCTTGGTGCGGTCATCAGGCAGTTCGGTATGCCGTTGCCGTTCATTCTCTCTGGAGATTGGAATCTGGGCCCAGACGAGCGGATGGGCTCTGGCTGGGTAGAGGCCGTCTCTGGACACATCCTCTCCACTTCGTTAGCTACGTGCACGGGCGGCTCAGGCAGGGTGCTGGACTACTTCATCGTGTCGGAGGGTCTGCAGTATCGCCACAAGTTGACCGTGCTCACCGATGTCGGCACCACGCCGCATTACCTAGTTCGTCTGCGTCTCGAGGGGCTGCGACAAGCCCCCGCGCTGCCACAGATTCGCGCACCTCGTACGTTCCCTCGTCAGCGGCCTCGCGGACCCAGGCGAGAAAACACTCTTTGGCATCCAGTCACAGAGTTAGTGCTTGCAGAGGCAGGCACTCAGGAGTCGTGGGAGAGCTTCGCGCGGGTCATGGAGCTCGAGTTCATCGATATCAACCAGATCAGCAGCGACAGGGCGCACTTGTACAAGGGCAGGGCCAAGCCTTTACAGCGCCAGCGCGCTGTTGCGCGCAAGCCGTCAGCCATGCCTTATCCGCGTCTCTCGCCCTTCGCCACGTGGTGGAGGCTTGTGACGCAAGTCTTTGCAGAGCTCGGCCAGTTTCAGTCAGCGTCGCATCGTCGTGCCACTCTGTCGTTGTGTGAGAAGCTTGCCGAGCAGGGAGGTAAGTTTACCGATGCCAGCGCGCAGCCTTGGGCGACTCCGCTCTGGACTGCCCCCTCGCTTTCCTGGGAGCTTTCGGCGGTGCTCGCCAACCTTGCCAGCCAGCTCTCATCCAAGCATCAGCGTGCAGCTGAGCATCGCAGGGGCTCCAGCTGGAAGAGTTGGGCCAGGTCTCACAGCAGTGCAGGTGGAGGTGCCCTTTTCAATCTCTCGAAGCCTCCCACCTCCTGGCGTAGCAGCCCCAATTTCAGGCACGACGGCTCGCTGCCGCCCGCGCCCGCCAGTCAGGAGGAGGAGATGGCTCTTTTGGTTTCTGAGTGGGGGGCTTACTGGGAGGTGGGGTCTCTGGCAGATCCGCTTCTGTGGCCTTCAGATATGGGCCCCGAGTTACCCGATTTTGATCTGGACGATCTCAAAGCTTGTCTCCGGAACTTTCGGGCTGGCAGCGGTGCAGGCTACGATCAGGTCTCGCCCCGCCAGTTGCTCGAGCTTCCAGACGAGGGCCTTGAGTGTTGTCGCCAGCTAATCTTCACCATCGAGAGCAGCTTTGAGTGGCCACAGCTGTGGTCAAATGTAGTCTTCACATTGAAGCGGACGGGCGGCTTGAGGCCCATAGCTTTAATGCACATCACCCCCAGGGTGCAAGGGCGCCTTCGCCGTCCCCTCATTCGGCATTGGCAGCAGCAGAACTTTCGGGAGTTCTGGTGGTCGACTCGGGGGAGGGGGTCGGATCGGCTCGTCTGGGTGCAAGCTGCCTTCGCCGAGTGGGCTCAGGGACGCAACCTTTTTGCTGGCACGGCCCTGTTGGACCTTCACAAAGCGTTTGAAAATGTTCGTCACGGAGAGCTCAAGGCGGCCCAGGTCACGGGATTTCCCCTTCGGCAGTTGCGTTTGTTGGTGGGCCTATATCGGGCTCCGCGGGTCCTGGGCCATGCTGGGGCCACCTCGGCCCCCATCTGCACCGAGAAAGCGGTGCTTCCAGGTTGCCATTTCGCCACCCTCATGCTGCAGTTAGTGTTGCTCGCCCCGCTTGACGCTGTGCAAGCGGCCTTCCCTCTCCGCACTGCTCGAGAGGTTCAGATAGGGATGGTGGTGGACGACTCGGGGTTGCACAAGGTCGGATCCTCGGAGCAGGTGCGAGACACTCTAGTGCAAGCTGCGCGTATGCTTCATCAAGGGTTGGATGCCGTGCATCTTCCAATTGGCAAGCCTAAGTATCGTGTGATCGCCTCCTGTCCTCGGCTTCGCGCGCAGTTAGCCCTTGCGCTCAAAGCCAAGAGTGTGCTCAGTGTGCAGAGCGAGCGCAATCTTGGAATCGTTTATGCTGCAGGAGGTGCGATCCAGAGGCGCGCCAATCTTGAGCGTTTCACGGCCGCGAAGGTGCGTCACAAACAGATTATCAGCCTGTCTGGTAAGCTGTGTAAGAGGCGCGTGCATCACATGGTCCGTGCTGCCGCCCAGGCCTCCACCGCCTATGGGTCGGGGGCGATGGGCAGCAACGGGCGAGAGCTCACGCAGGCTCGCTTTCATCAGGTTTCGGTGCAGTCGCAGAGGTTGGCAGGGCGCTCCATCACTCTCATGCTGCAGTTGTCAGGAGTTCCACGCATTGATCCTGCGTATAACCTCAATGTCTCTCCTCTCCTCTCCATCGCTACCTCGCTCTGGGACGGGTGGGTGCCTAGAGGGGTGGCGGTGCAAGGCCTTGCAGGAGCGCGGCAGAAAGTCCAAGAGCACGGCTCTCCTTGGCAGGCCATTCGGGGCCTCTTTTTCAGCCGCCGTCGCCACGGCAATGCGACTCGGCATCAAGATGAACGGGCTCGAGTGGCAGCATCCTAGCGTGGGCGTCTTCTCGGTTGCGGCCTTGCGTCCCCCGCGCGGTTAAAACTGCCCTTGGGACCGTTGTCGAGTGCTGGCTCTGGGGCAAGGTGGCCGACCACCTCCAGATGCCTGAATTTGTGCAGGGCCCCCTTCTTGCTCCCATCAAAGCTGGTGCGCCCAAGCTAAAGGCGCACGAGAAGGCCGATGTAGTTAGTGTAGTTTCGGGCGGCCAGTGGCCGCAAGATAGGCAGTGTCAGCTCGGCTTGTCGTCTCAACAAGAGTGTCAGGTATGCTCCTCAGGCCCAAGGACCCTCTTGCACAGGCACGTCGGATGCTCTGGTCATCAGGACTTGCTCGAGTTAGAGCAGGGGCCGCCTGCGCGTGCGCAGGCCATGGTGGTAGCAGCAGGCAACCCTCTCGTTCGCCTCCTCCTCGAGAGGTTGCGTGCGCCGCTGCCTGCCCCCCCTCCTCCTCGACCCACCCCCCCTGAGGTACTTTGGCTCTTTGGGGCCCCCGACGAGCTCGGAGAAGATTGCTTTCTCGACGGGGGCCTCTTCGATTCCGAGCTCCCTCCCACTGCGCGTTCGCTAGGCTGGGCCATCGTCTCGTTGCACGACGATCCGAATCTCCCCATGTCTCGAGCGAAGCGCGCGGTGGCGGCGGGGGGGCTCCCAGCAGGTCATTTCGACATAGACGTGTGTGAGCTTTGGGCGTTTTCCATGTGCCTTAGGCAGGCCCTTCCCGATGCCGTCTTCTGGACCGACTCCAATTTCGTCTGCCAGGGAGTTGGGGGGCGGGGGCGGCATTTTTGTTGCTCGGCTAAGGCTGCGTGGGCTGA